CGGAGTGATTTCAAGGTTGATTGTCCGTGGTTGTTTAAAATGAGTCGTGTGACCTGAAAACGTTGGAAGAGGAGAGTTACTTTTCGGAGAAGGCTTTCAACCTTGAACTTCCCGTGTAATTTCCGCGGTTCTTTTGAATACGCGAGTAACGGTGTTGTCGGAGGTCGTTGAACCTGGGTTTAAATGTCCGAAATGATACCGTGAATTTGTTGGAAATTTAGAACGCGGAGAGTGCGAATATGTTTGAACCGGTTGGATTTATCGGCTAGGTACAGTATTTATTCGAGGATACGAACGTTTGAGGATCGACACCAGGAGGAGAATTTATACGTCTTCGCCCGTTCTATTTCGCATCGGTGCAAACAGCTTGATTAATGAAGCACGAAGCTTCAGCGGCAGGCAAAAGGGATTGCGTCGATAATCTCATTCGATATCCAACGCCTCTGAACATCGATCATGCTGTTATTAATCGCCGCGATTTCCTTCCTTCTATCTTATTCCCAACGTACACCCTCTGCACAATAAGACCCCGCGCTCTCTCAAGATACTCCGCGTTTCAATAGGTTCTTCAGCTTTATTCGAGGAAAGAGTTACTTACAGCCACGATGATTGGTAATGAAATGTTTAATATTCCATGGAAAAGTCTATAATAATTAATTAACACGTTAGCTACGCGCGACGCGCCTATTCTCCCGATAGATCGGCATTATCTAAGTGCAAAAACATTACACAAAATGCACACTTTGATACATAGTATGTGTGCATAACTGCAGACATGCATCGTATTACGTAAAAACTGATAAAAATATAGATATCAACGCTAGAAATGACTCATTAGCGACTTTCCAAGAGTGAATTTTTACGTAAGTAAAACGTGACGGAAAAGTAAAGTCAGAAAGTTACAAGCGATAATACTTACCGGTATCGAACGTTCACTTTTTTTTTTTTTTTTTTTTTTTGGAAAGTTGCCGATGGGTCGTTTAACACGAAGAATAAGAGACGACGCTTGAACCTATTAATTACTCAGCTATAATCAACTCTAACCTTCATAAACTTCATAAACCCCAAAAATTATACAAGATCCTCTAAAAAAGACAAACACGTCCCCTCGACTTGGAACCATCATCATCATCGACGTCGTTGAAGTCGTCGAAGTCGCGCCACGTAGTGGAATTCAGGCCTAATGCAATTAGCGTCCGGCTGTGTTCATCGATCAGCCTAGAACGCGCGTGTCAATTAAGCTAGTCGGATCAAGCGGACCGCGTGTCCGATGTTATACGTTAGATACACGAAACAACGCTCGTAACGTGGTAAAGATAGCAAAGATGTAAGAGGCGATACGGTGAGAAATAGGAAGAGAAAAAGAAGAAGAGAGAGAGAGAGAGAGAGAGAGAAAGAGAATAGGGGGAAGAAAAATTGGCTTACCGCCGAAGAGCGCAGTCGGATCGAGCAACGGATTGGCCTGGTCCGCCTGGAGTTTCTCGGAGGCGGAGGTGGCGCCTGGAGTCGCCGTGGCCGCCGCTTCGCTTCCGCCACCTCCACCGCCCCCGCCACCTCCGCCCGATGCGGAGTTCTCCTTCTCCATGCCAGTCCCCTGAAAACGAGCATCAGCGTTTCGTTAGAACCGTTAACTTCGTACACCGCCAACCGACCGTTTCTTTTCGGCTAGACGGTCGCACACGGTATATACCAGAGGGGAGGGAGGGACAGTGGAAACGGGTGGAAATGTGAACACTTTTTTATATCGCGAGCCAGCGTGAAGGAACTTTCGGATCTTTGCAACCTGTGCAAATTTCCACGTTCTGCACTTCTTTTTTTCGTTACTTCCTAGACATGTAGAGATACGTTTCCCGTTTATTTACAATGCTGTAACTTGGGGAGAGAGTAGCTCCGTATGAAAAGCGAAGGAAAATAATGAAACAAAATTGCAATTTTTCGATTAGTTGTACATATGTAAGACACGTTGAAAAGGTTCGTACAAGGTGTCGATTCTCGAATTCGAAACGATGAATTGATACATACGTAGGAGTGAATGGAAAAGTTTCGGTTCGCGTATGCACACTTGGCGTATAAGTACATACAGGAATGATCGATGAATGAAAACTCGATATATATATATATACAGTAGTAACAATACTCCGGCTGTTTGTTTCCCTTTCGTTGTTTCCAGAGCATTAATACACTCGCTCGTCACTTTCGCGAAGGCCTTGAACTTTGTCAATGACGAAGATCAAAGAACTCTTTGAAACAACGAATTCGAAGAACCCTGATACATTGTCGTGTATGTAAATATGGCAAAAACACCGTCTCGGTAGGGAAAAACCTCCAATGCGAAAACACGTGTGTATATATATATATATATTTATCAGATAAAGAGAGTCGAGTTCTGTAACCAAAAAAAGTATTCAAAATAACAAAAAAAAAAAAAAAAAAATTTCACGCTCGTTGACGTTGTAGGAAAAAGAATAACGTCACGTCTGCGCAACGTCTGGATTTCAGTTAATTATGTTAATACGCCGACGCGGTGTCTCGAAACCCGCGAAACGCTCCCCTCCCCTCTCCCCACCGTTCGACGAACGTCTAGGAGACAGAGAGAGAGAGAGAGTGGGAGATAGGAGAGGGGGTAAAGAGGTGGGGGAAGGTAAAAATCCAAACGTTAATATTTCAGTCACGCGCATACGTAAGCACGTCCGTCTGTCTCGCATGTTCATTCGATGACTGTTTACCAGTCGAAGAAAGGCTTCCTCGAGCGCTTTAAATAAAGGTCGTTCTCCCCTCCACCCGTTTTTCCCCTCCAGCGCTTCAATCAGCTGACTGGCACACTCCCCTCCCTCGCCGCCCCAGCTGTTGTATAAATATACATCGTTACAACGTTGAGTCAGGTTAGGCTGGTGCTAGGCTAGACACCGCACAGCCACTGGCACCGTTATTATCATACACTGTTGCCTTAGGTATAGTTGACGCGTATCGCGCTCTCGACACCACACCGGCAAACTTAAAGTCGCATTCTCACTTCTTAGCGTTCTGTGCATATACACGCGTATCGCGCTCTCGACACCACACCGGCAAACTTAAAGTCGCATTCTCACTTCTTAGCGTTTCTGTGCATATACGTGTGTGTGTGTGTGTGTATGTGTATATATGTGTATGAATTTCATTTAGCCAAGGATAGAGCAAGTTTGTGGGTAAGTTTCAGGAGAATGTATACGTGTGTATCTTGGTTCGAGGGATATTGATTTAAAAGTTAGGTTATAGTGTTACTGAGGATGGTTAAGGTTACGTTTAACGTATTACGTACTAGAAGTTATGTTGAGTAGACTGTTCGATTAGAAACTATCGGCGAAGAACAGTGTGCGTGATGTTTGCTTATTACATTTAACCCTTTGCATTTTCGAGTGTGTTTTTATACGATCGATCCGCAACGTCGGCACACTTTTGCAGCGGAACTTTTGAAAAGCAAAAGTTTTGTTTGCGAAAGGAAAATATGAATGAAAATATAAATAGAAATGAAATATGCATTTTACAGCTTTACACGGGTACACGTGTAGAAACAATCTCTCGATTTTCGGTTGTACTTTGCGAACGTCCCCTGTAATGGCGCCAGTGAAGTGCAAAGGATTAACAATACCGAAGAATGAAATTTCTTGAAATAGCATACGAAAGTGAAATATAACTTTTTGTGAATGGTAAATTTATTTAATCGTTCGTCAGAGTGTGTTAAGATGCTCGGAGAACGATTCGAACGGAATATCAGTTTAGAGGTTATGTTCTACGGAGACGTTGAAAAGATTGAAATGATGAATTTTCTCGTGGAATAAAGAATTCTCGCTAGTCGATTTAAGACCACCGTCAAGCCTACAGCCGCCAGGAAGCCTTTTATTCCTAATTGAAGGACGAAGCCGCGTGGAAGCCCTCGATCGCCGGAAATTGTCTTGGACCAGCGCGGTCCTGCGTTCCGTGGATCGATGGAGCGCTCGCTCCCTACCCCCACGGCCAGTCCAAAATCGACTTGCAACCGTGTCATCGGGGATCAATGAACCTTCGACATCGGCAAACTAAGATGGAGCAGCTGAATTATTCCCGGTTACGGAACATTCGTTCCGATTGATTAACCCAATTTCCATCACCATTACAAAACAATCTCGAAACCACTCGTTCTCATCTTCTCCACAACCGATATCATCAATTCACCTACTCCAGAATCATTATTTCTAATCACCGTCATCTATCTAACACTATTCCAACGAAAACCACCGCTGGTTAACCAAGAGAGGAAACGGGAGTGTTGTTCTGCGGTGATCCAGTGAAAAATGATCACGCACCAAACACACCTGTATACATGCGTGTGTACTCGAGCGATTCTACCTGTCCAAACTGGGCATGATACTTTCGAAAATACTGGCCGAACCACGACGTGACGATCCCACCAGAAACGTACAGTTGCTAAAAATTCGCGCCGTTCACAGGCCGCACAATATTCCCCGGATACTTGTGTTCCATGCAGGGAATACCAAAGTGGCGGTTGCACGGGCGTCGAATTCCCGGTAGCCGGAATATCGAGAAACGAGGCGGCCTCTCCTCGTTCGCTGCTGCTGCTGGTGCTCCCGCTGCCTGGTTTTCAGCCGCGCGAGCACTTCGAGGCGCTCGTAAATTGGCGAGAGATGGAGAGACCGGCGTGAACGAGAGACAGAGTGAGAAAGAGAGAAGAGGACGAATAAGAAGGAAGACGACTCTTCTTCGGTCAGCGGGGAGAGAGAATCAGAGGGACGCGGTCGAGAGAGAGAGAGAGAGTGGAGGCTGCTGCCACACCAGAAGAGGAGGAGGAAGCTCTGAAGAGAGGAGAGCCAGAGGCGGCTACGAGCATCGATTTCTCGACCGGTGTTACGCTCCTTCGACCGGGAAAAACTTGCCGCCTGACGACGATCCGCCACCGGCTCTACGCGGCCACGAGAAAAATGTCCGCTCAAGAGGTTATTATACCGGGAGAGCGTGGAGTGTCTGTAACCGTGGAGTGGATAAAGAGGATCTAAGTGAGTTAGATGATTACGTAGGGGAATTTGTCGTTGAGAAACGCACAACTGTTATGTTTAAATCGTTCCTCTGTGGCCGATAGTTTCTGAGATATTGTAGCACATAGGTTACTCGGGAAAAAAAATACGAGCCGAGTACTTTTTCGGGAACTACGTCGTACGTAAATTTCGTGAAAATTGATGAATAATACTTAGAGGTACTCCTTTGTAAATGAGATGCTTATTTAAGCATCGTCTGTCAATTTATTCGCGACATAACTCAAAAAACAGTCATGAATACGATAGCCACAGATAAATGCATCCTTTTCAAAATTCCAAATGCAAGCGAGAAATTACATTTCTTATTCGACAAGATATTAAACGGTTAACACACGCAAAGAGTACCTAAAAAATCACTATAAATCCACTCTCGAATTTTTCAACCTTTCAACTTTCCACTCTCTCCCTGTGATTAAATAAAACGAACTGCAGAGCCTATGCCCGTACGTCTAGACGATTTTTGGACACGTCAATCAACGAGAGGAACCATCTACACACAGCTGTCAAACGCGTGTTTTTCAGCATCTCAAGCATCGATGACACAATCGGACAGAGGGCATGAATCACCGAAACGCGTTAACCTACATAATCCCCCCTTTATCTGCCCCGAAAATTCGCTCGGTACCGTGGGAGATCGTTAAATGGTCGCCATATTTTCACGCGAGAAAGGAAGGAAGAAGAAGAAGAAGAAGTAAGAGGAGGAGGTTCCAAGGAAGGATTAAACGTCGAGCTAATATTTTTGTTCGGACGGTTCGGCGTTGCGGAGGAGAGAATGCAGAGAAGGGTGGAGAAGAAAAATGGTGGCCGCGACTGGGCCAACCGTGTAACAATAACATGGAAATAGATACAGGGGACGCGTGTCTCGTATATCTTGGTGGAACAGGCGGCTACAACGGGGGAAGGCCCTTTTCTTTTTCGCTTGGCGTGCACCGCGCGAAAAGTTTATCGGTTATTGCCGAGCATAGTGACCCAGACACACGGCTATGAAAACTTTTCCTCCCTTCAGGACTCGTACGGAGATAAACTTTACCCCTTTTATGATTGACTGTGCACCGTGTGGCCGATGATCTCTGATCGTTCGCCGGCGATATCGATTATTCGAAGGAAACAATTGCGAGAGTTCGCTGAAATTCTTGTATTATTTTGTTTTTTGCTGTTCCTACGCGTAGACAAGCGCTATTGCTACGCCTATGTTGTTATCTTTCTCCAAGTTAGTCAAGCATGCGAAGTGTGTAATACGCGACGCGTTCTTTCGATGAGAGTTCACGACTTGACAGTTCGTAATACAATAATATAACATTTTTTCTAACTGAAAATTTGTTTAACATGTTGTTGAGATTTTTCTGATTAAAATGAGATTAAACGTTGTCTACGAAACCGAGCCCCTCCCGAAATTCTGAAGAATTTCGGACAGAAACTATTGCAGGGGTAAGTTGGCGAGAATCAATCGTAATTTACGAGAAGAAAGTTGGAAAGAAGAGAGCAGTGGTTTGTTAATTTTTATACACCACAAAGT